TCAAGTGCCGGTGGGAGGTATGGGAGGTCTTTAAGTCACCTAGGACTAGATTGAAATTGCCTCTCACCTTAGCACACGACTGAATGTTCTGTAGCTGTGTGAGTTCTACTCAGGTATCAGGCTGCCGTTCTGTTCCTCTGTTAGGATGTCTGTCTCCCTTCCTAGACAAGCTCCTCAGGGTCCTGTTGCTTGTCCTTTCCTGGCTCAGAGGACAGACTCCACAAGCACTGTTGCTAGCAGAGAGAAGCACAGCATTGCACCATGGACTGCAGAGGAAGCAGAGACCAGGCAACGCAAGGCCATCAGGCAGTGCTCCTTGGAGAAGGTGCTCTGTGAGATGAGTGTTGAAGAAGAAGTTGTATCATAACTGGCCCAAGTGGAGAAGAGGCAACACCTCAGTGATGGATACTGGGAACAGGGAAGAGGGCTCTTGATCACCGTGCGAGACCAGCGAGATGGACTAGGGCCGAATGACTCACCAGAGACATGGTGAGTGATTTGTACTTAATTTCATTTTGTAATGGCATGGTGAAAATGTTAATAGGAAGGGAGTCTGGTAAAGGTGTGTCTGACCTATTACAAGGGGAGAAGTTGACGCTGTTCCCAGCCCAGCTGAAAGCTGAAGAGGCTGAGTAGTGATTTGTGGAAAGAAATCCAAAGGACAGATGCTGGAGATAGTTTGGAGTTTAAAATGCTTGGAATCTTTATCCTACTTCCCTAGAATATACCAGCCCAAGGGAAGAAATCAGGATGAAAATAACAATAATAAAGTTAATAGCTTTCTCACTCTGCTCCCCATCACCTGTTTTACAACCAGCAGCCCAAATTCTTGCTTCCTGGGGGGCTTGTGAGTTAGATACTGCAGAACTTGCACCTTGCTGCAGACTATTGAAAACCATCAGTGTGGTTGGCCAAGACTGCTGCCACTGAAGCTAATCAAAGGCATCTTCATGGGTAGGATCCACCTGTGCTGCTAACTATGCTGGTGCAGGAAACCTTACAATGGGGAGGACTCTATTTGTTATCTGGGTCTTGATTTCTGTTCTTATCAGGAATCAAGGCTACCCTTTGTTCCCCATGGTTTACTGAGATTTTCCTTTGGTAAAGCAAACTCTCTTTTCAGTATGAAGCCAGTGTTTGTTCAAGCTGGGAATTGAACTTACTGACTGTGTGCTGCATTTTGTCTTTGGATGAAATCTGTTGAGTTCTCCTCTCGCTTAGTTGTGCACCTTAGTAGTAGATGAAAATACACTTTTGCAAAAGCCAGCCTTCTCTGAGTCTTAATTTTAACCTTGCTTCCCATGGATCAGGGTATGCTTTCTGTCTCTGATGTTGGGGAGGGTGCAAGGGTTGTGGGATGGGACTGGAGGGAAAGGAGACCTGAGGGGCGGAGCTTGGGGGAACAAGAGGGACCAAGGAACCATTTTTATTCAATAGAGTGAATAACATTTCCATTCTAAAACACTGAATAAATGATTCTATCACTTTAAAAACACATTTATTCTTTTAATGGAAAATTTTCAATAATCCCTCTTATAGTATGTTCATAGCTTGATATCTTTTTCTATATATAAAGAGGCATATGATTTCTGAAGGCAGATTTTAAAAGTCATTCTATAGGCAAAGTGTAAGGTTTAATTGAATTTGTTGAACTTTTCTCAAAAGTACTTTCTGCTTGACATTTTTACCTAAGGAAGATGTTATCCCTGTATGCTTTAACTTGAGCTTTAATACTGAGAAAATACAGTATATAGTAACATTGGGTAATTTCGCTGTGTTGTCCAACACCTGAGCCTGCACGCGGAAAAGCAGACAACAGGATTTTGCACTTCTTGCTATGAACACTAACACCTGGAATCCTACTGCGCATTTAAGTCATAGTCTTCTGATTAGCAAGGAACAGAGGCCCTTTGGATACCTGGTAGTAAGAGTTGCTGAAGGATTTGTGCGATTTTGGCAAGTCCATCCTGGGTTGCAGCAGCTGCCCTGACCATGGGTCCAGGCCCTGACCTCTGTCTGTCCCAGCTCGCTGGTTTTCCCTGCATGGAGTGACTGGCTGCACCTGCTAAGGGCCTTTGCTCCCTGGGCCTCGCTCCAGTGCAGGGTGTGCTCTCTGTCCTCGGGGCTCACTACCTGGGTCCGAGGGTGAGTGGGCAAGTTCAGCTCTTTCACACAGGGTCATGTCCTCAGCCACCAGCGGTCCAATTGGCTGTTCTTTGGTTGGGTGGGAGGCCATGTGGTCGTCACTTGGTTGCCTAGAAAACTGGAGTTGAGGGCAGGGCACTTTCCTCTGGAAAGAGGAGTGGTGGGTGGACAGATACTGATTGATATCTCCAGGCCAGCAGTTTCAACTGTGGTTCTCTTCATGAGAAAGCTGGAAGCTCTCAGCCACTCTTCTGCTATTAAGGACAATTGAGAATTTGGGCAACTAACTATGTAACTGAGGCCCAAACCCTGCTATCATCCAAGGTATCCGATAAAAATACATACTACAAAAAAAAAAAAAACTACTTTTATTTTAGCCTGAATCACAGCAGGATTTTGCTTGAATGACCCAGACAGATTACATCAATTTTCTGTTTTACTTTGCTTCTGGAACCAGGCTGTTAGCTGTTCTTCTGGAGTGGTAGGATGAATTATCATTAAAAAAAAAAGGTTGGAACCTGAAAAAAATTTCTAGATTCTGTTTTGTGTTTTTAAAATCAACATTATGACACTAGAAGGGAATGTGTATGTATGCTGACCATTTACATCTTATTTTTAAAAATTGATAATTTTTAATGGATAGCATGAATTTGAAATGTCAGGCTTTTTTTTCAGGCTTTTTGAAATTTGAAAAATGTGCGTAAGAGAATCATAGGTAACATTTCAAATTATACTTATTATACTTATGAAATTGAAGTGGTCCTATGTTTACATTGTATTATACCACATCATTTATTATACCACATCATTTATATTCTTTTTTTTCATTATTCAGTCTAATTGTGGTCTAATTGTGGTGAATATAATTTAGTCAGATACTTGTCCCCAAAAATTTTTTTTTCAATTAGGTAGTATAGAATATTTTAAAATAATGTTAGTCCAAAGATACATTTTTCTTTTTCTGTGATTTCATTAAAATAATAACTTTGTGACAGCTTTTCTGTATTGATTTGATGGAAATATTCTCACCACTTACAGATGAGTCTGTCCATCTGTTCTTCTCATGTCACACACAAGGCATGTGTGTTCCCTCGGTGTGTCCTCATGCTGCCTTCTGTGTGCTACAGTGGAGTGCTGAAGGCATGCGGTGTTTAGATGGACCACCTAAACTTGAGCCCTGGCTCCAGCTGATATGAGTACTTAATCTTCAGTACCCCGTGGTTTCCTTATTTGCATTGTGGATTTTTGGTAGTACCTGCCTCACTGGGTTGTTGTGAAAGTGCTTTGGTACTTGGTACCTGACATCTGTATTTGCCCAGTAAACATTTGCTGTTATTTTTATTTTCTCTTGCTGAAGAAAGCACATATTTCAAGGCAAATAGAGCGATTATAGTTTTTTGAGGGTAATGAATCTGATTTATATTTTATGTAACTTTTGCCTTACATATTTATATTTTCTAATAAAACAAATAATCTAATACCTTCAGGTCAGAGTCCCTTGGATATCCTATTTTGAGAATTGCTTATGTAAGTAATTTTCTCCCCCGTATTGATATGTATACTGATTTTAACAGTTAGCTAAATGCTGTTAGAAAGGCATAGTTCACTGATTCTGGCAAATAAAATAACTGAGGTATTTAATTAATTTAGAGAAATTTTACTGTAAAAACACTTAAATTGTTAAACATTTTGTTAAATAATTCTTTTCACCTGAAATCATAACAAAACATTAAAAAGCTAACATCCTGCAACAATGCATTAGTATACAGAATGATTTCTTAAGTGAATCTTGTTGAAATATTCTTTGTTAAAGTGAAATATTCTGCTCCATGTAGTGTGAGCAAGTTAATCTCAAATTTTTTGCATATTCTACTTATTTTATGGGCCAGCTCACAAATATAAAGACTGAAGACTGTTAATATTTATTTCAAGATGTCTGAAAGCATTAATCATGAGACTTTCGATTTTCTCTCTTTGCTGGGCCAATTGAGACTTGTCTCTTACTCAACACCTGTCAACCTGCACTGGGTCACTAAAATACGGCAACAGAGACCTTCCCTCTGCCCCTTTCCTCCACCGTTCTCACTTCCAGTACATTGTCTTTCTTAAGACTTGTAGAAAAACTAATATATTTTTTAAAATGTCTTTTAAAGAATGTATTACATAAGCCGCAGTGGACTTTATAAGCTATTAAAGTTTCAGTACTTAAAAAAATTCATTAGTATTTTTGAGCCCATTTTCTACTTTAGTATGCTTATCTCCATGCTCAAAACAAACACAAACAAAAAGGCCACCACTTTATATCACTGCAGGAAATGCCAGGCATTTTAGGGGAGGATCATACGGCAGAGTTTAAAAGCCACAGAGGAGCTAAACGTGTGCACATCGCCGAGACCCTAATTAATCAGTGACGAGAGGAGCGGAGCAGGCGGTGGAGCCCATGGGTGAATAAGAAAGTAACGAAAAGGCCTGCAGAAGATATGGCCTCGCCCTTGCTTTCAGTTGTAGCCAATTTTGGGTGAACAAAATTTATGTCCTGAATGAATGCTTTATTAGTTTTTTCCCTACTTGATCCGTCTGTCTAGACTTCAAGCTTTATTTATGAGTAAAGAAAGAGTTGGCTGAATTATGTAAAAAATTGGGGGTAGATTAACGCATAACTCATCCCTTGTTAAACATCTATCTTCACGGAAGTGCTAGGAAAGTTACAGTTAGGCCTGGCTTCGAGAAAGGAAGGCCACCCCCTCCTCTATTTTTTTTTTTTTTTAAAGGAGACTTTCCAATCCTAGTCAAATGGTGGTGCTAGTTCTTTATTTTTGAGTTACTGCATTTCCTAATTTCATGGTCATAACAGCTTCAGAGCAGAGTCTACCAAAACTGAAAATGCAGGCTCCATGCACAGAAGCTCTTTCACAGGCTTGAAAGGTTCAGGCTCCTTTCTCCTGCCCCTTTCTGTAGCATAAGAAGACAGTCTCTGAATGACATTCTTCTCAAGTAGGTACTCCTATTTCTTCTTTCTTTATATTTTTCCTTGTGCTGTAATGTGCTACTGTTTACAAGCAGGCTGGAACCCCAGAGCTTTCCTCTCATGTGAAAAGCTGTTCATTTTTCTCATACCACCCCAGAATATTTTGCAAAGTTGCTGGCAACCATTGCTGCAATGTTAAAAATATGAACTCTAAACTTGGTACAGTGGAAGTTCACTTTTGGAGTAATATTCAGCTGAGTCAGAGGGCAGCACCATTACCCTTTGCTCAGTACAGCACTGACTAGCTTCCTGCCTGCCCTAGATATCCTATATTTGTTGGATCCAGCTCTTGCTACGAGATACTGTATGGCTGAACTGTGTCGGAATTTTGAAACTTCATCTCTGGACTGATCGTGCACCAGCATGAACTCCCTACCTGTTTTCTTAATCTTTGGTGCTGTAACTTATGTGAGTCTGAACTAAGCAATCGGAATGACCCTTTACTTGTTTCCTGAAGGCAGTCAGGTTTTCTACAAAGCTCCACAATCTAGCAATAACGCGAATGAGACAGCCTGTCTTGAAATCACCCTAAAATTTTAGGAAAGGGTTGTTGTTGTTGTTGTTGTTGTTGTTGTTGAATATTGCTGTCTTGGTTTTCTTGGAGGTGAAAAGAAACTACTGATGACTTTTGGAGTAGGATGGTGTGTAATGACCCCACCACATAGAGTGTGCTATTCAAGTAAGGATGTGGGAGTCCCGAAAGACAGGGCAGGCTACTTTCGTTTTGGTGAGAGGAATGCCATATGTTTCAGGAACCTTAGTTTAAGTTGCAAATTTCATGTTTGGTCAAGAAGGAAATCATATTTTCTTTTCACAGACATGCCCGTAGACACTAAGATGATTAAAAAATATTTTAAAAAATTCCTTAATTTGGGTTGGGCCCTCTCAGGACTTTAGATCACCACACTGATTCCTGTTCAAAGGTGCGGTTTTATGCACCTCTGAGAATAAGTTTGCCGAACAACTGTAAGCAGAAGGTTGCTGGGAGACTCCTCTGGTTTTGAATGTGATTTCTATATGTACAAATTCATGTCAAGTGATTTAGGAATTCCAGGTAGAAGCATTTAAACAGAATTAAAATGTACAGAGAGCCAGATGAGATAAAGTTGAGCGAGAATGTCTGAGATCTAGAGTTTGAGAGCCCATTTCAGTTTCACAAAATTCCTTCCTATTTCTCAAAAGCAAATGTTTGCTATGATTTTTGTTACTGTCCTGTGAAGACTGCCCACTGGGCCTGGATATGTATGGATATAGTACTGCAGAGGTTGGATACAATACTGGAGAGGTGGTTAGATTTCCGAGGAAATTAGGAATAAATATGTATGCATCAGAGATACCATGTGCAGGGAAAATTCTAGATATGAGCACACAAAGGTTATATTTGTTGGCAGGATATTTTTCTCAGTTGCAAGTACTTGTATTTTTTGTGACAGTCAAGGAAAGGGGTAAAGTTCATGTGTTTTACACTTTCAGCAAAGAGAAAGTTAAACAACTCTCTGATTTCAGTGAACTGTTTCTCATCCAGTTAAGGATTTAGAGCTAACCAGATCCTATTCCTTTCCCCAAACACTCTACACCCTGTGTGCTGTAAGTGTTACACCAGGTACCTGCTGACCATTTTTGCTTGGTTGTCCATGGGTCATGTCTGAGTATTTTTCTGTTTTCGTTTAGTGCTGTTGGTCACAGCAGCTGCTGTGTAAAGGGCCAGGTGGTTGGGCTTTAGTTTCTTTTGAATAGAGAATAGCTTGGTTCCATGGTTGCATATTAGATACAAGGCAAAATAGGCAGGACGGAGAGTGACCAGCTCTGGGGAGACCATCATGTTGTTTATAAGAACTTACAGCACACGCTTCATCCATGGCACCTGAGCTGTGGTTCTGTTCTACCACCTTTAGCAGGGCTGGGTCTCCATCACTATCCCCTAAGAAAGAGTGTGAAGCCCGCCTCACCCCTGCACAGTGTCTAATAAAGTGCTCTTTTAAAAGACAAGTGCTTCACTGTTCGCTTTTGCTGCGATGATAGTGTTGGTCGTGCGTTTGCTTTCTGGGCACTGTCTCAGTAGATTTCTTCTGAATCCTTCTCGGTGGACCACAATATAGTGAAACCTTGCATGTCAGTGGATTTTCTGGATCTTACCAAGCAGTGAAAATTTTGTTTTTCTTTTTGAATGTTTGTGACTATTTTGGAGGACAAATGGGGTTGCCCTATTCATTCATTCCTCAAAATATTTTGCCGCATACTCTCACTACTTTCTAGGTGTGCAACTTATTTCACCTCTGACCTCAAATTTCTCATCTGCAAAGTACGGATACTAACAGTAGCTACTAGATATAATCATGTGGAATAAATGAGATTAAGCCACTCCTTAAAAGTCTTTTTATCTTCAAGTGTTTGAAATTCAATATGAGGAAGGCGTTTCACACCACTTCTGGTACTCAGAAAATGTTGATTGAGTACATGAATAAGAACTTAAGAACTCCAGGTCAGCACCACAAGTGCTAGGATTTTAAGTCCGTGTACCATAGTGGGTGGGAACTTGACCTGAAAAGTTAAGGGCAGTCACTCCAGCTAGCTATGCATGGCACCTGTTGAAATGCTGCTGCTTGTTAATGGGTGTAGGTTGGAGGAGGAAGCCCGGAAGCCTGCGGTATGCTTCCCTCTAACACTGCTTCCCTGTGTGACTGTAAGGACCATCGCATCCCTTTGCAAGATGGGCAGCAGAGGATGTCTAGCTGAGGTGAGCATGCCAGAGTTTTGTTAGAGATGCTTCACACTGCTTTTTCACGTCAGAAGAGGCATTTGGAGGGAGTGGGTGTTTGCTTCCAAGGTGAGGATGCTGCTTGGGATGCCTGCACCTTATGGAGTGCCTGGGTTTTGAATTCTGGATCCTTTTTGCTTCCAGCTTTCTGATGCTGTTCACCCTAGGAGGCGGTAGGTGATGGCTGAAGGACTTTGGTCCCTGCCACCCACATGAGAGACCCAGATTGAATTCTGGACTCTTGTTTTCTGCTTGGCCCAGCCCCAACTGTTGTGGGCAGTTAGGGAGTGAATCAGCAGATGGAAAATAATTCTCTGCTTATCCATCTCTCAAATAATAAGTAAAAAGTTTAAAAAGAAGCCTTTTACTTTGTTGTTGGGCAACATGTCTAACCACACACAGAGTTGTGCACTGAAGTTCTAGTTCTATGTGCCAAAGACTTGAGACAGTCTCTCCATTACTGACCCCATAGCATGCTTTGGTGCCCATGAGGGGATAAGAATAGTTGTTAGCATCTATGATTTGGGGAGCTCTTAATGTGGTGCTTTTTATAGGTATTGTTACATTTAAACCACACAATGGCCCCAACCACTAAATGACATGGTGATTCCATTCTGCAAATGAGGATACTGAGGCTTTGCAAAGTTAGGTAACCCGTTCCATGTGATGTGGCATTATCAATGATAGCCCAGGACTGGAAGATGATCTGATCTAATCGCAAAACCCGTGTTTTCAGCTACTGTTTGATACAGTATTAATTTCTAAAGTTTCTGATCAATACGAAACTTGCTTTGGAGAAGCAAGCTGTGTATCTGGGGCAGAAGGAGTGTGATATTACACTCTCTCTAAGCCTCAATATCTTTATCTGTACAATGGGAATGGTATTTGACCTATAGAAGTATTGTGGTTATTGATGAGGACTAAATGAAATAATGTACATAAAGGAGCTTTGAATGCATACATGATTACCTAGTACCTTGTGAAGTCTTGGTACTAATGGGGATGTGTGCGCCATGAACTGGGTATGAGGGGAGATTGGCTTGTGCTGCTGAAGAGTGATGTGGTGCTGGAGGTGCAGGCAGAACGCCTTGGCCTCCTAGGTGGGAGAGCAGGGCAGCAGGGTGCCTGGAGCTTTGGAGGGAAATGGGACTTCTCTCCTGGAGGCATCGCTGCAGTCTTGGGGGCTACACTCCGATTGCTTCTGAGAAGGCGAGGGGCTGGGAGCTGCCCTGGCCTTTCTGCTGTGAGAATCATAACGATGCTCGTCGGCTGTCCACCTGGGGCTTCCCTTACCGAGAGCAACCTCCAAAAGCTTCCTCTGGCTTCTGTCTCCTATCAAAATCTGGCAGTGACTCCCAGGTCTTTGGGATTTTCTGCTGAGAATGGGGAATGAGATTAGAAACTGTAATCTTGTGGGCCATCTTCCACTGCTTCTGTTTTCTTGCTGTCTTGAAGATAATGCCCAGAGCCTGTGTGACAACTGCTAATCACAACGATGGAGAGACTACAACAGGATGGCGATTCTGGGGCACTGTGGAAGTGTGAGTGGACTGTGTGGCCTTGGTTCCTGCCCTTTTCTGGAATGTCTTTGGATGTTGACATTTCGTTTTACTTGGACCTCGTGCAACCGTTCTCTTCTCAAAGGTACCTCTTCCCTGAGGCTGGGTCAGTCGGAGCTATTATCGTTTTGCCAATGGTGATGTCTTTCTGAGACTTTTATCCCTCAGCAGTGCAAAAAAGTGGTCTCTCTGGGATATTTCTTTTCAGAATTTCCGTAAGGACAGTGGGAAATGTACAAGAAAATTTGAGGTCATCTGGCAGAAAAATTTGTCTTTTGAGCTCTAATTTTTATTTACAACAACCAGTTGTCTGACAGAATTCATTTCCTTGAAATCAGGTAATGACAGAAGATTAATACAGATGAGTACATAATGAATAGTAATCCACTCTAATACCTTTCATTTTAAACCATGTGACACATACAGATGTATGTAATTTTTTGTAAAGACTTTTGGAACTCTACTTGCATTCAGCTTTGCTAAAGGAGATTTAAGGATTAGAGTTTGTCAGAATCCAAGATAGTTCAGTTTGACTCGCAGAGTTAAATTCTCTTCCTAATTTTATTTAAAGAATTAATAATGTTTGCAAGGGCCCTGCTGTGGTTCTTTAAGGTTTGTACTGGAGTCTGCTCCCAAACAGACTGAAAGTGCCTCAGGCCTAGATGCTCATCCACGCGGCTGGTTCCTGGTGCTCGGTAGGAACCCCTATTTACCTCTCTCTTAAATAAAGCTCTCACTTTCCTATGCATCTTTCTCACTCAATAAAAGCTTAAAACATACCATGCTGCCTCGTTTATCTGTGCTGGTATTTAGAATTCTTCTTTAACTATTAGGCAAGAACCCTTTCGGGCTTATTAATATTGGGGATTTAGTAATAAGCCCGTGGTGAAATCGTAAGGCACCCCAAATTCCAGTAGCACATGTGGCACCCCAGATAGCACTTCTAGGGAACTTTAAGGGGCCACATTTCAGTGTGAATTTTAGGGGGTCTTTTCCGATTTCAGATTCAGAAAATAGCTCATGCTTATTAGCTAGGATAAGAATTACTATGGTTCTTAAATAGGTCCTTTATATTGGATACTGAACGATTCTGACTTCTGAGGCCTATTTTCCTCACAAAATTGATGAAGGCGTTGGACTAGGAGATGGGAATGGTTCTTGCAGTTGTACCATTTTATGATACAGTTTCTGCCTTCAGCAACCTCTGTTATGATGGTGAGTTGATACTGTCACTTGTACAATCAAACCAGTGGGCACCTGTCTGGCAACAAAAGACAGATGTCATTGTCCCACTGAGACAGGACCCTCGTTACCAAGGAAGACTGATATCTCTTTTAGCCACCTAAGTGCTTTGCATTGTAGGAGTGGGGGATGGAATCCAGTGATTCGGTGTAGGGGGAAGGGTGAAGACCCTGCCTTCTTCCTTCCTCTCTTTTTTTTTTTCCGTCTTCTAAGGGGATGTGAAAGGTAAAGGTAACAACAATGGCAAAGAACCAACTGGGGGTGGGGGTGGTGTTGACAGGGAAGGCCAAGCAGACTCGGCCATTTAATTTGAATCACAGTAAGTTGCCTGTGATGTTTCTGGGCTTCTGCGTGTGCCTGTGGTGGACAACACCTCTTCTTTGTATTTGGAGTGGAGAAATACAGGCAGAGTGACGTCAGGACATGTTTAGCACCCAGAACATGGCCATGTTGCTTTCATGGCCAACTCCTCTGGGTCATTCGGCATTCATAGATCAAGCAGAGGGATACTTCCAATCTAGTTTGAGCAGGAAAAAATTCACAGGACAATGTTTTCTAGGAAAATCAAAGAGTAGAAAGCAAAGGTATGCTTACTATGGCATTCATGTTGCATAAGCAGTATTAACGTGGTTAAGTATTATTCCTTTAGAATGGTTCACAGATTATTCCTGCTTAGACTTTACAGGACCCTTGTTTTACTTCTTTCTCACCATCTGGATTCTGTCCATTTTACTCCTCCCTCGGCACTTGGAATGGAAGTGAAATTTAAATGTGCCAATTTTCTACTTGTTAGAAGCTATTCTAATATATTTAGTAGGAAAAGAGATTTATACTGTTACTTAGAAGAAGGTTTGGGGATTATTTCAGGGTTTAATTCGTTGATGGGATTCCTAGAATCTGCTGCCATCAGTAGTGGAGAATTGGCTACACCAGACAAGTTTGTAGATTTACGAAAGTGTAGCTAACGTGGGCTGCACTTGATTTCTTTATCCAGTTCTTTAGTACTAAATTTATTGCCAGTTTTATTTATCAAACCTATTCTCAAAGGAGTGGTATTTGTTGTGGCCACAAGGAAACATCTGTGTGTTTCAACCTTAGTGGCAGATAGCCAGTTAGAACATTTGGCATATGAAGCCTAGATTGCCGAAGGAAAAATTAATCAAAAGAAACCTTCAAAAATACTGAGAAGGCAACCAAGAAAAATGTGTTATCACTGACAAACTGAAGTATTGAGTTCATAGTAATGAAGAAATGGCAGAATCCACAGTGAATCAAGTAAGGGTGTCATATTATGGGAAGTTTGGAAGTTGATGTCATTTTGATTGCTGTGATTTATAGTAGGTTATATAAGGGAATCCTGAATTCTAAGAGATCAAAGGAAAATGCTGGCTCTTTCTTCATCACCTCTGTTAGGTCAAGCCTATCCAGCAAGAAGCCAAGTGGAGAGTTAAACAATTATCTGAAGTGGGCAGTAGAGACGGCCAAAGCAGATAATGCATAACCAGAAAGTCACCATGGAGGGAAAATGTGGGCTGAAAATAGGATAAGGAGTGGGGGTAGAATGTCAAGCAATTTGGTCAATGTCCAGCATCCAAATTTACTGTATAATGGCCAACTCCTAGCTTCATGTTGTTATTTAGAACAAGACTAAAAGACTGGGATTAAAAAAAGTTCACTACCAAGGTTGTTGCATGCTTGTGCAAAATTTTGCCGTATCTGTATTATCTGTGAGTGTTTAATTTTGAGTATTTCCAGGGACTGGATTTCGCTATTTTAGATTAGTGGATTGAAATCATAGAGGAAGCCCATATAAACTGACTAATGGGGATAAAAATTTCTTTTTTGGTTAATTATTAAGTGGTATATTTAACTAGCCACCTTTTCCTATCCCTCCACGTATGTGCTTATGAATTTTCCATTGAAAACTAAAGCTCTTTTACTTTATCATTTCTTTAGGTGGCAGATTTCATATTTCCTTAATATTTAAGTAGAACATAGCAATGAATTACATAAGCCCAAAAGAATAGGATTTGAATTACTTTTTTTTTCATATTAAGCAACCACCAAGACCTAAGTGTCACTGTGGCAGTCTTTTTCTTTTCTTTTATATGGATACCATAAACTACTTATTTTGAGCAGATGTTTCTAACTCCTAAAATATAGTTGGTAGTCTGTGCCCCCTCGATATCTTTCAATGTGCACCTGCTAATTCTAAAGACTCGTTAGTTCAATGTACAACTTTCCATTTGATGTTGTCTTTTTAGAAAAGTGTACAGTAGCTTGTCATTATCTATAGTCTTCCTATTGTGCAATAGCCCTAGCCTTTCTTACTCCTATCTAACTGTAACTTAATACTCATTAAATAACCTTTGTTTTTTCAATTGAGAAAAAAATCTTTACAGATTAGGTTCACTCTTGCTTCAAATCCGGAAAACGTGCAGGCATGCTAAGATCTTACATGGAAAAACAAAGTAAAGAAGGGAATACATTTCTTTCTTTTCTATCATGTCCGCTGCATTTGAAGCTGTTATATAGAATTTTAGAAAATAAAAATAACCCAGAGCAGTTTTTCAATAGTTCTGACTGAGGTTTGAAACTCACAGTAAAAAATGCCCTGTGGAAAATCCTTGAAACTCCTCATGAAATCTATTGAAATACACTGTAGTCAAATCAAAATTCAAGAAGAATTTTTGGTGCAAGTAAAGATCAAGAAAGTTGTTTTGTAAGTAGTGATACAAAGCTGTGTATTAAGTATCATTACTAAATTTGTCCCCTGCTCTGTGCAGTGGCTACTTTTTCTGTCATATAGCAACATCTGAATGTCTGTGGTAAAACCATCTAAATGGTCACAGCAGGTGCTACTGTGCTGCTGCACGCAATTGAGACATTGAGGACCAGCTTTTTGTTCTAATAGGAAAAATGGATCTTCAGAAATAGAAGCCATTCTACACTCCTGGCTTGATGTAGTGGATGATGCCCTGTGCAGAAATGAATTAATGTTTGTGAATTGTGTCAGTGGAAAATAGCCCATGTCTTAGATTTGTAAAAAAAAAATATAATCAAGAATTTGATTTGAACAGATAAGTGAAACAGATTCTTCAGTGCCTATTGACAAGTGAGACTCCTTTTACTTATTCAGTCTTTCCTTCCCTCGGTCTCTTCCCTCCCCTTCCCTCCCTTCCCCTCCCTCCCTCCCTCCCTCCTTTTTTTTTCTTTCTTTCTTTTCTTTCTTTCTTATGAAAGGTAACACACACACACACACACACACACACAAAGAGAGAGAGAGAGAGAGATCTTCAGTTTGCTGGTATAGTCTCCAGAACCCTCAGTGGCTCGCACTGGCGCAGACCAGAATTCAATCTGAGTCTCCCACGTGGGTGGCAGGGATCCGAATACTTGAGCCATCACCTCTGTCTCCTGAGGTGTTCAACAACAGGAAGTTGGAATCTGGAGTGGAGCTGGAGTGCCAATGTAGGCACCCTGATATGGAATACAGGCATCCCAAGTAGCATCTTAACTGCTAAGCCAAAGGCCCACCCTGAGATTAATTTTATTTATTTTTAAATGCCTTGTTTCCTTAAGTGAGGAATCAAACCCATTTTTATTTGGGAAATATATTTTTTAAAGATTTATTTATTTCAAAGCCAGTTACAGAGAGGCAGAGACAGAGAGAGAGGTCTTCCATTTGCTGGTTCACTCCCCAAATGGCCATAATGGATGGAGCTGAGCTCATTCAAAGCCAGGAGCCAGGAGCTTCTTCTGGGTCTCCCATGTGGGTGCATGGGCCCAAAGACTTGGGCCATCTTCGACTTCTTCCCCATGCCATAGCAGAGAGCTGGATCG